GCGCTGATGTACCCAGCCACAGTGTCGGGAGACCGAACCCCAAACAAGTTATGTTCATGAGCGTTATACTCGGAAAAGCCTTCAGCAATGGCAACCATCACCCCACCAGCACGGACGAGAGATGGTGAGACAAATGCTCCCTTCACTTCACATGGCCCAGTGCCATCTCTTGACACCACCGGCGTATTCTTCGGCAAAAAAACGTCGATCTCCTGCGCCAGTTGCACAACCCCGGACTTACTGTCCTCAGCGGCCGCAGCTCCACAGGTGGCGCAGCACAGCAAACCATCACGACAAGGAGGAGCAGCGCGGCGGAATTAAACACATGCCGGGACATGTTGGGTCTCTGCGGCTCACTCTCTCTTCCTTCCCTCCTCCTTCCGCTGGATCCGGTCACGCGGCGACGGTTGTGTTTGCGGGTTGCCATGACAGCAGCAACACGTGAGAGCATATAAATACGTAAGTGTGCTGTTGGTCCTTCAGAGACTTCGAATCTCACAGTATCGATTCGCACTTGATGTCTTACCTTCCTAGCGTGTGTGTTCAAGAAGTGGAGAGGACAGCAGCAGCGGCAATACATCAGACACGTCCGTGGAGACCAGAGCAGAGCACCCACGTGGAGAGCGGGACACAAGACAAACCGGAAGGGACAGCACAGAGGAGCATCGCCCGCACCAGCCCTCACACACACAGGCACCATCGCAGTGCTGTCAGTCCGCGGGTAAGAGGATTCGGCCCTCCACACAACAAACGCACACGCCGCCAGCAGTCACCCAGCGTGGACGAGGAGAAGCGACACACCGCCACCGCCTCCAGTTCAATCCCACGGCCAACGGAATACGGCCACAGTCCCGCAGCCAACACACAATGCATACGGAGAGAGCACCCACACCGCCAGCCACACGCGGAAGCGGGCCCTCATCCATCCATGACGCGGCGCCTCGCTCCATGCGGTCACACGGAGTGCTCCATTTCTCCAATAGATCTTATCCTTCGTCCATCCCGCTAAGGTGCTTCTGTTCGTGATGGGCTTTAGAACACAATAGAAGAAAATGGACAATGCGGTAGTACTGCGACACCGCCAAACACAATGATTCTTCATACCGGCCAATTCTCCGATTATGCCTCGTATGCACACACAATTAACATGCTATATGAAAACCACCCAATGTTTTTCACCAGAAACCAAACAATCCCTTTCCCTCCCTAATTTCTTCTGTCACTGCTATGCTCGATAGTGTTGGACATTTTTGGCATTTATGTGTGATGTCACCTGATGCTGGTGCACCCGCACCGCATGCTCAGACACAAGCATCCAAAAATATATAAATCTCACAATATTTTTTCACCAAAAGTCAAAACTGCCCCTTTCCCTCCCTAATTTGTTTTCCTATTTCGGCGGTTATTCCTCACTTCGGTGAGCTTCGTCCCTTCAAAAGTCTCCGGATGATATTGACACTTGGTACTGGCGCACCTTTTCCTTCCAAAACGCCGCAATTTTTTGTTTTTCCTTCTCGCTCACATTATCGGAATTAACAACATCACATCTCTGCCAGTCATTCAACGGCGTGCTGTCTGCGTGCTGCACGTAAATAATCTCCCACGACATGTCTCGGGATAATTTCTTCCAGCCATTAAAATATGCCGCCAGGCACTCAGTGAACTGCCTCACAGTGCTGGCGGTCGTGTGGTGCTCACCCGCCGTAGCCATCCGCAGCCCAACCAGCGTCCTTGGATTGGACTTCATGAAGAAAAAGCCGTCCACCAGCGGAAATTTCTCGACCTCCGGCATGTACAGCAGCCGGTGGTTTATACAAGTCTTCTTGTCAATGCGTTCCACCGACGGCAAAAAATAGTGGCGGGTGGGGCCCTCCCGCGAGTACTCTTCCGGCGCACAGCGGTGTGACTGACGTCGTGTTGGGGGCTTCAGCTCCTTCAGTTTACGTCTTATTGCAGCCATGAAGGCCACATTCAAAAATGCAAACATGGCACACCTCCCAAAATTTGCGTGCATGAGATAATCCCTGATCCTCGATACAAATAAGTTAAACTCAGCCTGCGTCATTAACGTTTTCAACTTGCACAATGTTTTACTTGCGAGGTGGTCAGTTATCGGTACATTGAAAGGCGACTCGCCATTGCGCTCTCCTCGTACTCGGACAATCCTCGCAAGATATTCAAGCACCTTATTATCCTCCCACAGTTTGGAAGTTCCGAAAACAAAGTAACGCTGGATTTCCCGAGAGGTCGTCCAATCCACAAAGCTGTGGCAACGGCCAATCCAATTTGTATAGTTTCTCTCATTAAAGATGTAGCGAAGAATCGGTCCCAGTTTGTGCATGCGATCCTTCACCTCTCGCCAGTATTCCGCTTGCTGCTGCGGAGGCTGACTGCGCTTCATCCAAACGCACATTGCCTTCACATCGCTCTCATCAGGGCAATTCATTATGATTCGTACGGCTCTCTTTTCACTCGCCCAGTGTATGTAACTTGTTATCTCTGGCGTTGCCACCACAAGCATGCCCCATCCTCCGGGAGGCAAAAAAGGAGACGGAATACTAAACCTGCCTCCCACGTCGTAGATAATATACCCCTTCATCCCGCACCGAGACAGTTCCTTCACAACTTTGATACTGGACTCACCGATGTATCCTTTCACCGTCTTGATGGTCTTGTCAAACACGTACGTCGTGCTTCCACCAACAAAGTACGCAACCATTTGGAGTTTCTCGACATCGTAGTCCAGCAGCTGGTAGAGGAGGTACGAACCGGCAGCCATCGACTTCCCGATACCGGGCGTCCCAATCAACACACGCGGATGAGGCGCAAAGTGGTCCTCAGGACGACTGCTGAACCACTCGGTGAGATCGCCCTTGACGATCTGCCACACTCGATCCACCTCACAGTTCACATAGCAGTCGGTACTTGCTTTCCTGCACGGGTGCGGCCATCCCTTGTCTGAGGTGAGCACCATCAGCCTGAGCCGTGGTGCACCGGATTGCTCCACACCGTCATCCTTTTCGACAGTTCGGCCAACTGCCTTGTACGTCCATGACTGCGGTGGTTTCCCCTCATGCACCTCCATTCCCGTCCCCTCGCCGCCAGGAACCTCCATGACATGATGCCACCTCGCATTGTACACAGACTCGTAGTCTTCCCACACCGTGCATTCTTCCACCCGACTGTCAAGAGCCCACATTAATTGCCGCACCTCCTCCACTCTTCCGCGAGTCGCAGCGGGTTGATCTGTGTCACCCTCAGACTCCGGCCTCGCTCTCCTCCGAATATCTCCCTGCGGCACAGCAGACGCCTGATTTCCAGGCATTGCTTCCTGTTTTTTTAGTTGGATTGAGTTAAAGCTGAACACTAACCACCAAACAGGAGGAGAATAAGAGAGAGATGGGGTAACTAGGCACAGACATGACGGGCAGCCACAGCAAGAGAGTCATCCACACAGTGTGCGACGCACACCACATGCACGAAGACCGCCGCAACGACGGCGCGCGGGTGCCAACCACCCAGCACAGTGTTGGTGAGAGCCAACAATAATAACAACGTGGTGTGCACGGAGGGTTCCCCCACGCATCCCGCTCGCCACGGTCCCGCACCCCTGTGGCACCGCCGACACCGCACACACTCTGCAAGAGGACGTGGGCATATCGTCACTGAAAAACGAAAACATACACACAAGTGGGGAGGAAATTCGGTGCAGTAACGGCCACACGCGGACAACCCAAATCATACACGACACAGAAGCGATGCATCATGGTAACTTTCCACGCAAAACAAAAGAAGAACAAATTAAATGCTGTATGGATAATCCCCGCAATTCGCGCAGCACAAGTGAGCCGTGACGCTGCCTTCATTACTGCATTCGCTATTCACATTACCAATGCGTAACCCTGCAGATACCACCCCTCCATCGTGAAAGCAACTGCCTCGTTGTGGTGTCATCGCGCAGCCATCCGCCTGAGTAAGAACAAAAGGAAACTCAGGCGTCCGTCCACCTGGAGGGAGGAATGTCTCCACCGAAGTCTCCTCCATGACGCAAACACCCCACATCCAGTGCTCGGTGTCGTGTGCAGACTCTGCGAGGAGGTTGTGGGCACGCCACTGTGCCACATGGTGTGCCTCCTCGGAACGCAACAGCAGACGTGTTCCCCTCCGCTCTCACTCGTGGCGGTGCGGCATCCGCTGCCTCGCTGCGTGCTGGTGGCGTCGAATACGACGCTGCATAGTGAGAGGGTGCCCGACAGGAGCGGTGCTGGGCTGGGTGGGCAATGCCCTCCGCGGCGGGACGCCCAGCGCGACTCCTGACCGCTGCGCTCACGCACCTCCTTCCGCTCCTTTCCCTCTCCCTCCATCCGGCAATCGCACAGCCGCCAGCACATTGGCCCCGAAGCAACACACAAGTGAAGGCGTGGCAGCATATTTCCCGAGACAACAGAGTGACGGCCACACGCTGCAGCCATCGTGCCTACAGGTGAGCCCCCCGGACAACTTTGTTTTGGGGCCACGCACCCCCGCAGGGATCACCCACAGCAACGCACAAAAGTGCAGTAAAAAAAGTTCCTCCACCGTCACCGTCACCGCCATCGCACATCTACAGAAGAGACACAACCGCGCAAAAAGGGCCAACTCCCGCGCGAACGCACAACCACGTACACCAACGGCCAAAAAGAATCGTCTCTCACCTCGTGCACCATCGATGTACCGGGCGGTGCTGCATTTCAAAGCAACTGTGCTGCACGCAGTGCGCTGCACACAAAATGGAGGAGAACCGCAGTATTGCCCTCTCCACGGTGCCTCTCCCTTCTTCCGTCCACGGAAAAAGGCGGCAACCAACTGCCGGAGGAGAAATGAGAGACGATCGTCCGCGGACACCGCAATA